GAGAGAGAGAGAGAGAGAGAGAGAGAGAGAGAGAGAGATATTTGAGAAATTAGGAAACTTATCCTTATCCCAAATCACACAGCTTCTGGCATCTGAGTAAGTGTGTACCATTCCAAAGTCTACATACTTTGACCATTAAAGTATACTACTTCTAGGTGTTTCCCACTTTATGTTTCCCCCTGAAATTTAGGCTCATTCAGGATTCTGCAGGCTGGTTTAAACTTCTCTTTGGAAGCAGACAGGTTTGGCTTGATTTGCATTCTTAATATTTTACAGTGGTAAGGGAAAGCTATTATTATACCCATTTTATGGTGAGGAAGCTGAGCCGCTTGCCAGCTGAGGTATTTGGCTGGGTTAAAAACAGAATTCAGATCCTTGGTCTCTCATTCCTCTTGACTAACCCCAAACCTAGGCAGTATGAGTGTCCAAGGGCTTTTCTGCACATGGAACTCACACTGGATGATAAAGAATGAGATGAACTTTGCCAAGAGAAAACAATGAGTGCAATAAAAAAGTAAGTAATCATAACCCATAAAATTGGTTACTTTAAGCATTGTGAATAGAAAAGGGAAAGCTTATTCATCAAATGAATCAGAAAATTAGGATGTGTCACAGCCCTGATGACAGAGCTGAGGAATTTAGATGAACTGAAGTTCAACACTTCTACCTGAAGAGGTTAAAAGGTATGACAACAGGACAGAAATGACCCCTTAGACATGCCTTTAATCTTTTCAATTCTTTCTCTTTGACTACTTTCTCTAGAAGTTAGGTGGTTCTTATCTTTGTTTTTTTCTGAGTCAGGAGATAATATTTTAATATTCTAGAAGTATTGTATTAGTTAAATCTTAATGTAGAAGTCATTCTAAACAGTAGAATGAAGATTTTTACCTTACTGATTTTCTTAGTACCTTGTCTCACTTCTAGTATTTTCAAAGGCTGAGGCGCTATTGGATTTTTGGGTTCATATGTCTTTCAGAATACGTGTCAGCTTCATAGATTCCTGTCAAATGATATTCTGTCTTCACTCTGGATACATGATTTCCTTTATCTGACAGATTCAAGAAATTTTATGCTAGATTTAATGACACTTCATGCACCCTACATTTGGGAGGTTTTAATTCTCTATTTTCTATTCTGCAGAAGGTTTATAAGTTAAAGTCAGAATGAAAGGTTATTCATATGTGTATATAGAGCATTTGCAGTCTCTCACTAGGTCCTTTGGAATCTCCCATGGATCAATCTTTTGTAGTATTTTTATTTCTTTTGGTCAGTCACTGAAGATTATA